ATATTCTATTTATTTCTTCTTCTGATTTGTAACAGTGGTTAAGACCCTGGGATATAGTGACTGTTTTTATTTTGACTAAAAGGGAAAATGGAAAAGTAAGCAAGCAGCTAGAAATGGTTACGTGCGAGTCTCTCGCAGCTGTTTTTTTGCATCTTTCTTGGAAGGACAAGCATTTTTTTTCTCCTGCCTTTTTGGCAGGTCATCAGCTTTTTGAGGGTTTTCCCTAGGGGCATGGACAATGTCGAGAGCTGGGAGAGCTGGGTCTGTGGGGACTTTGTTTTGTTTCCTTTTATTGATGTTTTGTTTTGCCCACCCCCCCTTTTTTTAAGGACACAGTATAGGAGAGGAATTTTGAGAACATAATTGAAAATCCTTCAATATTTTTTACTTTGAATAGAAATTAGAATAACTTAGTGTTTGGGCACTAGGATACTTTGGTCCTTATGTGGAACCTACCATTTATATCTTGGCATTGAAGACATTTCTTAACCAGGAATTTTTTTAATTGAGGTATAATTTACATTCCATAAAATTCACCATTTTTATGATATTGACAGAATTGCACAGCCATCGCCACTAACTCTGGAATATTTTTATCACCCCCAAAAGAAAACCCTGTACCCATTAGCAGTAACTCCCCCAACCCCTGGCAACCACTAGTATCCAGAATAGACAAATACCTGGACATTTCTGTCTCTGCGGATTTGCCTGTTCTGGATGTTTCATATAAATGGGATCATGCAATACACTTCTGTATCTAGCTTCTTTCCCTTCTTTTCAATATTCATCCATGTTGTAGCATGTATCATCAGTGTTCATCACTTTTTATGGCTGAAGAGTTTTTTGCTGTTTGGTTTTTGGATTTTTTTTTGTTTTTGGTTTCTTTGGAGGTATCTCTGAAGGGACCATGTCTCTTCCCTTGCTGCCTCCTCTTGAGTTTGCAGAAAAGTGTAAATAATGATGTCAAGAATAGAATCTAAAATGCCGAGAAAGCATCTCAGTACCTTTTTAAAAAATCTTATTTTGGAGCCATTTCAAGCTCATAGAAAAGCTGCAAGAACAGCACAAAGAGGCCGGCCCGGTGGCGCACTGCTACAGTGCACCGCTTGGGAGCGTGGCGGTGCTCCCGCCGAGGGTTCGGATCCCACATACAGACCGGTTCCCGCTCACTGGCTGAGCGAGGTGTGGGTGCGGTGCCGAGGGTTGTGGTCCCGTTGCCGGTCCCGGTCCGGTACGGGTGCGACACTGAGGGTTGCAATCCGTTGCCGGACACGAAAAAAGACAAAAAAAAAAGAAAAGCACAAAGAACTCCTGCTGGCCCTTCTTCTGAGACACCTGGCTACCTTTTACCGGTTGTTCTTGCAGAATTCCAATCTAGGGTAAAACACTGCACCCATTTTTTCTCTCTAGTTTCTTCAATCTGGAACATTCTTCCTCCTTTCCTTGGTTCTCATGACATTGGCATTTTGGGAGATTATGGGGCAGTCATTTTGCAGAATGCCTGCAATATGGGCTTGCCCTGTACTTCCTGGCAATCAGGCCCTAGGCTCACTGTCCAGGCAGGGATGCTGTGCCCTGGTATCCATCTGTCCCATTGCTGGTGGCATTAACTTTGATCACTTGGTCAAGATGGTGTTTGCCAACTTTCTCTACCACAAAGTTACTTTTGGGTGGGGGTGGCTGGCACAAACAAATTTACTTTTTATCCTTTGTAAATAATAAGTATTTTGTGGAGAGATACTTTAACACTAAGTAAATACCCCTGGACCTCATCCCACTCATCTCCTAGTTAGATTACTATGATGGTTGCCAAATTATGACTCTTTAAGTTCCATTATTCATGCTACTGAAGAGTGTTTCTCCCCATTTATTTAGTTTATGTCACTGTGGACTCATGAATTCAAATCTGGTGCTCACTCTGTTGCTGTCATTACTTATTTTGATCTCTAAATTGTCAAGGGAGTCTCCTCAAGCTGGCTACTGTGTCCTTTTGAAACATCCCATCATTTTTTGAGTACTCATTTACTCTGTCACACAAGACATTCCAGGTTCATTTTGTACTTGGCCTGCTCCACCCTGGAATCAGCCACTCTTCCAAAGAGTGCTGGCCTTTCTAGTGGAGAGTGATATTCAAAAACCCAAGGTCCACAAGCTAGGGGCGTCATTGATTTGGGGGTGTTTCTGCTTGTCTTAATTCATTTAGTGTTGCTGTAACAGAATACTTGAAGCTGAGTAATTTATGAAGAAAAGAGGTTTTATTTGGCTCATGATTCCGGTGGCTGGAAAGTCCACTACTGGGCAGCTACATCGGACAGGGACCTCAGAAAGCTTCCACTCATGGCAGAAAGCAGAAGGGAGCTGGCGTGTGCAGAGATCACATGACAAGAGAGGAAGCAAGAGTGACCCCAGGAAGCTAGACTCTTTTTAACAACCCACTCTCACGGGAGCTAATCCATCCTTGTGAGAGTGAGAACACACTCAGCCTCCCTCCCCGCCACAGAAGGGCATTAATCTCTTCATGAGGGATCTGCCCCCATGACCTAAACACCTCCCCCCTGGGCCCCACCTCACAACACTGCCACATAGGAGATCAAATTTTTTTTTTCCTTTTTGTCTTTTTTCGTGACCGGTAACGGGACTGCAACCCTCGGTGTTGCGCCCGTACCACGACTGGCAACGGGATCGCAACCCTCGGTGTCGCGCCCGCACCTCGCTCAGCCAGTGAGCGGACCGGTCTCTACATGGGATCCGAACCCTCGGCGGGAGCGCCGACGCGCTCCCAAGCGGCGCACTGTAGCAGTGCGCCACCAGGCCGGCCCTGGAGATCAAATTTTAACATGAATTTTTGCAGGGACAAACTATATCTAAACCATCGCACTGCTGCTGGACCCTCTAACAGACAAACTACACACATGTGTTTACATATCTATATTTATATCTGTCAGTCTGTGTACATTGAATCCAGGAGTTCTGTCATTAGCTCCCATTCCAGTCCAGCACTCCAGGACTTACTCTAGCCTTCCTTTTTTCCTTCCGTGAAAAACCTGACTGTGCTCCCAGCCCTGCCTGGCTACCATCACTGCCCCTTCAAAGCCAGTCTCCTTTCAGGGGTGAATGAGCTTCAAAAAATGTGTAATATCGGGCCGGCCCGGTGGCGCACTGCGGCGGCGCTCCCACCGAGGGTTCGGATCCCACATACAGACCAGTTCCCGCTCACTGGCTGAGCGAGGGGTGGGCGCAGCACCGAGGGTTGCGATCCCGTTGCCGGTCCCGGTCCGGTACGGGCGTGACACTGAGGGTTGTGGTCCGTTGCCGGACATGAAAAAAGACAAAAAGGAAAAAAAAATGTGTAATATCAACATTGATAAAAAATAATTTGTAATAAAGCCTTATCAAAGAAATCAATTTATCTTTCTAAAGCAGATAGATTAGTATGTTTAGTATTGACATTTTAATTCAGAGTCATTCCAGATATAATGGTAAGATATCAAGTGGGTTGCTATGCTGTCTGTCAGGGATGTAATTTAAACATGTTCTGGTTCTTGAGAAAGAGGATATGTGTTTAGATTACAGAAGTGCCACAAAGTGTCTGTCTCTTGACAGGGCACCACCAAAATCAACACTTTCAATTGGTCCAAGGTCCGTAAACTAAGCTTCAAGAGGAAAAGGTTTCTTATCAAACTCCACCCAGAGGTCCATGTAAGTATTATTTTGAACACGTTTTAAATTGTAGTTTTAAATTGTAAGAGAATTATTCTGCAAGAATATTGAGGGGGTTGTTTTAAACTACCTTGTAGGGCTGGCCCGGTGGCGCACTCGGTAGAGTGCAGCGCTTGGGAGCGCGGCGGCGCTCCCGCCGAGGGTTCGGATCCCATATAGAGACCACTCCGCTCACTGTTTGAGCGTGGTGCAGGCATGACACCGAGGGTTGCGATCCCGTTGCCGGTCGCGGTACGGGCACGACACCGAGGGTTGCGATCCCGTTACCGGTCACGAAAAACGACAAAAAGGGGGAAAAAAAAAAAAAAACTACCTTGTAAATCATTTCAGTGGAATGCACCCAAGTTAAGGGACAGGATTCAGGATTGGGGTTTGGAAGGGCTTGAGGGCCTTGTGTCCAGCAGGTCTCACACTGACCACCTCTGGGAGGCTTGTCACCCACACATCACTGTGCTCCATCCCGGGGGTTTCAGATTCCACAGGTCTGGGGTGGGCCCGAGGAGGTGCACGTCTGACAGACTCCCAGAGGCTGCCGAGAACCGTTGGTTATCATGGTCTCTGTTTTCCAGGTAACGAAGCTGAAATACAAAGTGTTCACAGGGTTGAAAGACTTTCCTAGGACATCGCCAGTAAATAAAGTAATAATTACATACGAATTTACCGAAATGAGTAAAAATGAAAAAAAGAAATGTCTGTACAGTCTGATAGTTGGGAAAAATCCAGCACTTCCAACTATTCAAAGGAACTCACATTGTTACATTCCCACTGTAGGAACGAAGTTAAGAAACAGAAAGTAGGTTAGCTGAGCCACTGTGAAGTTGAAGCTTAAGAGATGGCCGCGCCTTCGTCAGCTTAGACACACTCTGGGCCTTGTGAGGGTTGGAGCCCTTGGACCAAACAGAAGAACATCTTTACTTGAGCTTTTAAAAGGCACTTAATTAGCAGGGCTCTTGTCAAATACGAGGTTCATATGCTGTATGTAACTGTATTTACTTTTGGTAAAAAGCTTGAAAGGATATTTGTTTATTATTCAAATATCTCTTCTATGGATAAAAGAAAAGTAGAATGAATTCCAAACATACGTACAAAGTGCAAGTAAAAGGCTTCTTTTTCTCTGTGAGTAAAATGAGTTTCTTGCCGTTATTCTGAGAAGATCAAGAAGAAAATTACTGCTCAACTCACCAAAGCAGCTATTAATTGGAATAGCATATTTCAAAGCTCAGAACTGTGTTTGCGTCTGCACAAGGCAAAGTTATGTTTTTTATTCCTAAGCACTTAGGTTTTTAAGACTAAATATAGGAATCAAAGTATTACGGTCTTTCTGAGAAGTAATTTGGTAATATATATCAGAAGGTTCAACATTGTCTTTGAGCTCAGAATTCCATTTTTAGGAATTTATCCTAAGGAAAAATCGTGAGAGTGCAGTGGTTTCTTCATTTTGATATTTGTGAGCCTGAAAACTTCATGTGTTGTAAATCTAAAATATCCTAGGTTAAAAAAAAAAAAAAGAACACCATGGAAAACAGCTCATTAATAACATGTGAATATGTTAGACTGGCACAGAAGGTGGGCAAAGAGCAGTTACAAAGATGGACATCAGAATGTAAACAGTGGTGTGATTGTGGGTGACTTTATATTACTGTGATTTCTATAATGAATATATATACTGTGTTTTTCTCTTCTTAAATAAATGGAACGAGAAGTCTTTGTATACAGTTTTTAGAAAAAACTTCCTAATTTTTAATTTTGGAATTGTCCATTGTGTGATCTGCTTCCTGAACTTACTTTCTCTTGTCCAATACTTTATTTTTGAATTAAGTTACTTGAGCCTTTGTATTTTGCTTGTAGGGACCTTACCAGGACACCTTGGAATTTTTGTTGGGTAGTAGAGATGAATGTAAGAACTTCTGGAAGATTTGTGTGGAGTATCACACCTTTTTTAGACTTTTTGATCAACCTAAGCCAAAAGCAAAAGCCATCTTCTTCAGTCGGGGGTCCTCCTTCAGATACAGGTAGGGGCTGTGGCATGGGTTGCAGGGGCCTCTTGCTGGTTTGTAAAGCTGAGAATATAGGTAATTCCTAGCCAAGAAAGAAATGTAAAATGTTTCAGAGAACTCAATACAAAGTGTAGCTATTGAAAAAGGTAATGATGGAAACAGCGTATCAAATAAAATAGAGAAAAAAATGGGCTTAATAAAAGCTTTGTTTAGAAAATCAGTTGTAATTATTACAAAGTGTAACTTTAAAATAAATATGTGTATATTTATGAGAGATGAGCGAGTCTTTCTTTCCCTTTATTTTTGAAAAATTAATGCTGTGAATTACTGTTGTTTCTTTTTTAAAAATCTAAACCTTTGTTCACAGTGGAAGAACTCAGAAACAACTAGTAGATTGTGTCAAGGAGGGTGGGATGAAGAGAGCTCCATACGAAAGGTGAGCTCTGTGCTCTTTATGATGTGAAGTGTGTGCTTTTTAAAATTAATATTTTTAATATTTACTTAAAAGTCATTTCAAATACATAAACATGTATTTTGACATGAGTTCTGTTTGTATTTTGAAGAAAATGGATTTGTAATATCTTTATATAGATGTCATATACATATGCAGATATTACCTGTTAGTTTCTTTTTTCTATATTGCTTAGCTTATATATATGTTTTTATATAATATGATAAACTTTTAACCTGAAAATTTATGTTGTTTTTCTGCATGTAAAATTTTTCCTTTAATGTGGGTATATAATTTTGCCTCTTTTCGGGTATCTACTTTTTATCTGAATTATTTTGTGTTACTCCTGCTTGTTTCTAGTTAGATGTTTCTGTCTTAGCCACATTGGTATGTGAGTTTTTCTTCAGGAATACAGTTCATGCTTGCTGCTTTAAAAACAGGTATTGAGAAGAAGAATGTTTGATTGCTCACAGCTTATTCTCTGTTTTGCAGAAAGCACAGCAAGACTCGGATATCTATCCATGCTCTGACTGCAGACCAGCCAAAACAGGTTAGTCTTTTCTGGTTTAAAATATATGTGTGTGTATATATATATATATTTATAAATACATATACATACATACATATGTGTGTGTGTGTATATATATAGCCAATATTAATTACCTGTACTCTTTTGGAAAATAATCTGGCAATATTGTGACAAGAGTCTTAAAATTAGTTGTATCATTTAATGCAACGATTCCAATTCTGGGACTCTTTCCAGAAAGGAGTCCTAGATAGATAGAAAGCTTTGTGCATTGAAATGTGCATCATAGTGTTACTTGTGATACACTGTGAAATCCTGAACAACACTTATCTGTGCTGGATAACTTGCTAGCTACGTTTTAGCTGTATTCACTTAGTGGGATTTTTTGTACCCATTAAAAGCTCTGCTTAGGGGCCGGCCCGGTGGCGCACTGCTACCGTGCGCCACTTGGGAGTGTGGCGGCACTCCTGCCGAGGGTTCAGATCCCACATACAGACCGGCTGCTCACTGGCTGAGCGAGGTGCGGGCGAGCCACCGAGGGTTGCGATCCCGTTGCCGGTCCCGGTCCGGTATGGGCGTGACACTGAGGGTTGCGATCCGTTGCCGGTCACGAAAAAAGACAAAAAGGAAAAAAAAAAAAAAGCTCTGCTTATAAAGAGTATATAGTAACATGGGGAAGTTCTTGCTGTTATGTTAAGAGTGAAAGGCAGGAAACAAATTTACATCTGTACATGTCTGGCAGGATTGCAACTATATTAAAAGAAAGGCACACGCAAACACATCACAGAAAAACATTTGGCAGGAATGTCCCAAATGTGATAGCAGCTGTTCCACTTAGACATGGGCAACATTTTTGTTTCAGGTCTGCTTCACTACAGTCTCTTTGTGTATTCATGTTTGCATATCAACTTCCACATGCAAGCATGTTTTTACATCGGACCTTGCCATTTTCATGTAATATTATAACTATTTCCTCATGCTGCTGCAGTTTCTTATTTTTACAATTTTTATTTCTGTACAATGTTAGCTTTTGTTGATGGTTTGTCATCTTTACTGTCATAGAATTTCCAGGAGCTACACTCAGACCTCATATATCTAAGTTTATGTCCCCAGCTTTTTAAAAAATGGGTCTTTTAAATAAAAACATTATTTAACTCTTCTAGGTATGTTTTCTCTTCAGAAATTCCTTGTTAAATCAATTAAAATTAAAAGAAAATGTATTTTTAATTGTTCTTTCACAAAGTTCAAATTTAATGTCAAAGTATGAATCATCTAAAAATTAAATTTACACTTTGAATTTTCTTCTATTACATTTTAAACGTCACAAGAGAATATTGAGTATGGCTGAATGATTAAGAAAAAATAATATGATAAACATTTGAAAATAGATTAATCTTATGGATTGTGACTAGTATACTATTTTGTCTCTAAAGGTTAGTCACTGTGCATTATTTAGTATTTACTCAGTTCTACTTGGTTATATTTTGGTCCAACCACCCTCTTAATGACGTTGCTTGAGTACATATAGTAAGAGGTCTTCTCAAAGTGTGACTGCATCTCAGTGATAGCACATATGAGTGGTGACACTTAGCAAGTAAAGAGGGCTGGTTAGCGTTTTTGTGTGTGGAACTGTGTGTGAGGATATGGTAAGGGCACGTGGAGGAGCAGGTGCCACAGCATGGCTCATTGGCTTCTTCGCCATGGCCCCTCCAGAGTCCTTCATCTTGTTCATGAGCCTCTTCTTACTCACTCACTGTTTGGATCACTCCAGTCCCTTCGAAATGCCCCAGGGCTCCTGTGCCACCGATGTTGGCAAGGGGCATCCTAGGTAATGATTCTTGTCCTTCTGTTGTAAATGTGAATGGACTGATACGTGTCCCCACTCCCTGCTGGCAATAAATCTGGCAGGTGAGTGCCCGGTACTGTAGAAGTTGGCCTTGTTACCAGGATGTCCATGCTGTGGTTTGGGGTACAGTTGGCTGAGTGGAATGGCTCACTCCCTCTCCAGCTGTGTTTCATGCCTCAGTGAAACAATGAATGCCCCAATTCATTCGCTTGTCACTTCAGGGTGACTGGGGATGCCACTGAGATGGAACACATGATGGAGATCTTAATTACTGTGGACATTTCATACCACAAGAAAAAAATGGAATTATAAGAGTTTATAAGCAGATATCCTAGGTCAGTTTGCAATGGCATCTATCTATCTACATTTTAAAATCTTAAGTTCTAAAAGGGAATGTCTCATCAATCACCCTTTTTGTAAAAGCTGTGATAGAAATGTGTAGATATCCTAAGTTAGGCCCATTTGATTTTGCAACTCCTAATGGCAATTTTTAATTTTATATGATCTTTTTTTTTCTTTTCTTAATTTTGATCCCCAGAGCATCTCATTCACTGAGGGATGGAGGACTTCTGCCTCCCCATCTTCAGCAAATGCCTCCTCTTATCTGTTCCCTACCTCTGCTTTGACCACCCCTGGCCTGCTCGACTTCAAGGACAGCAGCGGCTCCCTTATGGATTCCCAGGTTTCCTATGTCAAGAGTCCAGCTGCAGAGAGGAGCAGCAGAGCAGCGGCTGAAGGCCCTGACACGCAATCGGCCCAGACCTCTGGGCCCCCCACGCTCCAGCCTGTTCCAGGTGTCAGGTTTTGTCATGTTGTGAGCAGTTGTGGTTCCATCTGTCCTTCAGGGCAGAGTCTCAGTGCCTTAGACCTAGATGCAGGGAGGGCTGACGGGGAGCACAGAACTGCTGGTAAAAATGACAATGGTGAGGATGACTTTACCACAGGCTTGTTCCATCCCAGTGGGGAGCACTGGTGTGACCGGCAGTGCCGAGGGGGTGGCCCTGTTTTCACATTGACAAATACTCAGCTGCAGGTCTCTGAAGAGTTCATAGATGATGATCCAGCAGACATCTCTTTCTTTGCTGGAGGCTCTGAGGCATTCTCTTTCCCATACAGCTCTTTAATCTCACAGGAACCTCGGGTACCTGCCCAGCCCACCGCATCCCCTCCTTTGTGTGGTCCAGATGCCTTCCGGCATCCGGAGTCTGCTCAGTCCAGCCCAGACAGGTACTCCACTGAGGCAGTAGACATGAACGTAGAAGACGATTTTGAATTTGAGGAAGAAAGTGACTTCAATGGCAATGTGCACCCCTCAGACACCTCCGAGCTCTTTGAGGTGAAGGCACAAGCAAGCCTGATGCAGAGCCTGTTGAGTCCTTCTGAGACTAGCTCTCTTAGGAACAATCAGTCTGAAAACAGCTCCCTCAATAACATGCCGCTGCATGGCGGGCTCTCTTCGCACATGTCCAGCTCGGCCAATCAGTCTGAGGCCAGCTCTATGGTCAACTTCCCAGCCTACTCAGTCCGGTCAGAATCCAGCTCAGCCTTCCAGTTCTCTGACATCATCGACCAGTTAGAGCAGCTCAGCTACCCGCCCACAACAGCTGAGGACTCCAGCAGCACAGACACAGATTCGTGGGACTCCGAGGCTGAGGCCCCCCTAGACGTGAGCCTTTTCTTCAGCAACTCTTTCGCACAGACAAGTGGAGAGAGAGTCACTTTCGATTTACAGAACAATTTAAAGAATCTGACTCCAGGAGAGCAGATAGATAAAAACCCATCTTGACCATTCCAGGTTCCTTTACAAGGTGACCCACCCACCTACTCTGTGTAGTTAGAGCTCAGAATTGTTTGGGTTAGTCATAGGAAGTGATTTTGAGTTCATGGCTAGATATTCTATTTTTTTCTAACTCTCGGATTTATTACATTATTTTTTTGAATGTCAATTAAAACTTTCACTTGGAATGATGTTAAAAGCTGTGCATCCAGTTTAAAATAGATGAGTATTTCCAGCTAATCCTCCTAGAAAGCTGATAAATTATGTAGCTTTATTTTTTGACATGTGTTTTGATTCAATTACAAACTGGTGCTATACATTTTGAATGTTACTCAGTTCTGATTCATGTTGGTCTTTACTAGAATAAGTGTATTATACCTATTAATGCTGCTTTGAAGAGGTGAGCCATGCTGCCCATGATTAATTAGAACAGAGGTTATGTCTGATTTGTGCAGTCGGTGCACTGCACAGAATCTCAACTGTGCCTTCACCGAATCCTAACCCTGGGAAAGGCACGTAGAGGCTGCAGCCTCCTGCCTGCCAGGATTTCCAGTTGCACTGGGGGATAGATAGGTGGTGTCCCTGGAATTGTCCCAGTGCCAAAGGCATCATCTCATTATTAACTTGAGACCCAGAAATAGTGCTGTGTTTAGATGTGGGCTTGGAGAGGCATTGGTTTAAAATGCACATATGTAAGTTTGAACTGTTTTCTTTTGTTCACCTTAATTGAGGGTGAACTGGATGTATGGTTGCTGAAAATGCAGAACCAGACACTCAAATCGGCCTTAAGAGTCATTGTGTAGGCTGGTACAGGAGACTTTTTTTTTTTTTTTTTGACTGACAGAGTGAGTTAGTTAAAAACAGTAAACAGACTAGGAACTCCCCAGAATGTGTAAGAGGCTTGAATTTTCACTTTCTTTAGGAACAATGTTTCTTTTCCATCAGGTGGTTTGTAAAACACAATTGCCGGTTGATTGCCAGTCTTTTATACCGTCACAGATATTGTTCTGTCCCAAGGCAGTTGGGAAGGGTCATGTGAGCAGATGGGCTGAGATGGTCCTGCCCACCTGTGCCGGCCATCCCAAGGTACAACATGGGTGCCATGGCCCTGCAGGCGCCATGGGGTGGGGTGCTCCTCCGTATAAAAATAAACCACCATGAAAGTTAGGGCTGATGCTCATGGCACAGACTGGATGCATCTGACTGGATGTCAGAGGAGAAGCCACCGCCACGTGGCCTAGCACCCCTCGAGTGCTCAACTCAGGCTGGCCCTGGGTGGACACTGTTGAGCTGTCAGGTCCACAGACTGGGTTTTGTTTCTTGGGTTTTTGTTGTTGTTCCTTCTTTCTAGTCTTATCCACTAGTGCAATATCATATTTAAAGTTTAATTTTCTTCTCAAAATATCCTGTGGAAACTTTAAACATTCACTTCTATTCCAGGTAAGACCTCTGATTCTTTGCCTGGATGGGTTTACTGTGTTTGCACAGAGAGCATGTGGCTCGGGGGTCTCTTAGAGCTTTCAGGGCATGCTGAGTGTCAGTCTTTCTTTTCCTATTAGTATGGGTTGGATACTAGTGGAGGGGTTGTAGCTAAATGTTTGAGTAATTTTCTATTTTTGTAGTTTCTTGAAACCTGAACTGCAGTCTCATCATTTACTTGTCTGCACGGCTGGTACTTGCAGTGTGCTCAGTTGTTTATTCTGTCCCCTTCCCACTTAGACCCAACTTCTCAATGCTTTATAGGCAGTTGGATATACAGCTTTCCATGGTGGCTGACTAGTATCTGTGAAAAGATTGTGTAACTGCGTTGATGATAGACGTGGTGTAGTTCAGAACACTAATTAGATCAGGACTGCTTGGGACATTTTGTTTTTTCCCGTTGTGTCACTCCAGAAATAAACCTTGCATTTGTCTGGTATGGTTAATATATTTTACATTTAAGATGTTTTTCCTAACTCGGTGCTCACAGGATGGCTGATGGCTGCCTCTTCCTCAGCTGATACCTAACTGATGCACCTCTTGGTGCTGTGAACTAACAAAGTTATCCTTTTTCTTTTTTTAATAAAGGAAACCCACCCTAGTGTCTGGGCAGCAGGTCAGATTTAGGTGGATTTGAACCACCTCTGCTGCTGCGCTCAGGTGACCACTTCCTGGGGAAGCAGTGCTGTGGGAAAGTGGGGTGTTCCCTGTGGAGGGGGTGGGGCCGTGCCCCTGAGGCAGTGTATCTCATCACACTCTAGTCTTGGAGATTCTGAAAAAATTATGTTCTCAGCTGTCTCTACTAGGCCTCTTATAAAACGGGTTTTATTGTTTGTTTTTGTTAATGGAGCTTCACTTTTTGGAAATAATTTTTTAGTTTTTGATTTAGAAAGTTTTCAAAATGTACAAGATCAGAAAGAGGAATACAGTTGTCCCTCGATATCTGTGGGAGGTTCCAGGACCTCCCACAAGTACCAAAATCCATGGATGCTTAAGTCCCTGATATAAAATGGTGTAGCATTTGCATATAACCTACGCACATCTTCCTGTATACTTTAAATAATCTCTAGGTTACTTATAATGCCTAATACAATGTAAATGCTATGCAAATAGTTGTTTTACTGTATTGTTTAGGGAATAGTGGCAAGGAAAAAAATGTCTGTACATGTTCAGTACAGATGCGATTTTTAAAAGTATCTTTGATCTGCGGTTGGTTGATTCTGTAGACGCGAAGCCTGTGGATGTGGAGGGCTGACTGTGTACTACGCCCGTCGTCCCTCGTTCAGCGTTACTGATACTTGACCATGCTTGCTCCATCAATCCCTTTCTTCTTTCCTTCTGAAACTGTTGTATAGTAGTTTAAAGAAGACCTCGGACATGCTAACGACGTTCCTCAGAATTTCTGCATGTATTTCTGAAACATAAGGACACTTTCTTACATAACCCACATATACATTATCATCTAAAATTAGTAATTCCTTGCTATCATCTAATACTGAGAATACCCTTAAATTCCCCAGTTGCCTTTAAAATGCCCATTGACATTTGGTTTGTTTAAATCCCAGTCCAAACACAATCCACTCACTACATGTTACATTTCATTTAGAAGAACACCACCACCACCACCACCCCTTTTCATGCCAGCGACTTGTGGAGGAAGTCAGGCCAGTGGTCCTGCCGCACGTCACACAGTCCAGACCAGCCCCTCGAGCCTTTGCCCTCTGGAGTCTGGACCTGCCACTGCGCTGACCAGGACAGAGCTATGGGCCACACAAAGCACTTTGGATCTAAGTCACTGCTGAGCACCCAGTCCCTCGGTCACACCAGTTCCATCCTTTCTGATCTTGTTGAGTGGTGCAACATCACATTTGAACTTTGACTTTCTTCCTAAAATGTCCTGTGGCCAGCGGCTCCTTGGGGGACAGAGCAGCTCTAGGACTAGCCCAGCGTCCCAGATGCTCTGTGGACAGCACCAGTGAAGGTGTGATTTTCAGATTCAGATTAACTTTTTGGCAAGATCTGGATAGTTTTGATAGCTTTCCTTTTCCAGAATATTCATAATACTTATAAATGTGTTGCAACTTTTCCTTCATAATGAAATAATTTTCAAGAAAATCATTGTGGATTTATTCTGAGTCACGGTTCTCGGGTCCCTTTCCCTTTTAAGCAGGTTGTGATGCCCACCTAGAGGGGATTTAGAAACTGAAGGTGAAGGGAGAGAGTGTAGGCACAATGGCTTTAGAACCCAAAAAACATTTTCTCCTACAAGTTATGTCTTTCTCCTTGTAGCAGTTAGCTTACACAGTGACATGATTCCTTTTCACCTTAATAAAAGGTGGTTTATAGTAGTTAAATATTAAAACATCTAAAACAGTTTAGCCTGAAGCCACTGAGCCCTGAACCAGCATTAGGCCTTTCTTTTGTTTGTGGATGGTGCTGTGTGGCTCCTCCGTGTTGGGTAGTGCACCAGCTGGGCGGCAGGCCTGATACACCCTGACTGTAGGGCAGAGTGCTCAGTTTGAGGGAAGTCTGCAGACTTGAACCAGCACTTCTTATGTCTGGAGCCAGCATACTGAGAGTGGGTCAGTGCAAGTGTCTGCAAAATGTTGCCAATTCTCTTTTAATCTATCAGTCTCCTTAGTTACATCCAGAACCTTGCAGGTGGACAGTTGTCAGGCTCTGCCTATGGCCTCAGGCAGGATGCGTGTTGGACTGGCAGCTCGTAGCAGGGCTTGCCTAAGGGTTTTGATCACAGCCAGGTATGTCCTTGCAGACAGGTGACTGCAACCAGGTGTATCCGTGCAGGCAAGTGACTGCAGCCAGGTGTGTTCACACAGATAGGTTATGTGTTCCTGCAGCAGTCTCGTATGGTGCAAGGCCACCAGCATGCAGTGCCTGTTATACCGTTAAGTCTACCACTTACAATACGTTCTGCTATAGGTAGATTTTTTTAATTGTTTTCAAGCCTATTTTTGTATTTAAGTTTCCAAAGTCCAGGTATTTTTAGATAAGCCAATATATGAATATTATGAGTCTAACAGTAGTATAACGATGTGTTAATAAGATTGACTACACTAAGAAATATGTAATGGTGTATACTATGTAGTTTTTAAAAATCATTAGGTATTGATATGTGCCTTTTTTATATTACAAAGGAATTCACTTAGGATTCCGTTTCAGTTAATACACGTTTTTAAATAAGTGCTAATAATTGAGGATGGGCAATAGCAAACCAAAAAAAGAGTTTATACGAAAACCTTTTAAACCTGTCGGTTAAGTCATTCCCATTATTGTCATTTTGCCAAGGGTGATTCAGTTCTTTTTCATTTCTTTGGTGTATGGGTATATTTTGATTTTTAATGCAAGATCCTCTGCTGTTCTACTGCCCTTAGGAGTGATTGTAAGGCATCACGTGTGCGGTGGTCGTGACCATGTAGTGACAGGCACAGCACGTGTCCTTAGCTGTTATGTGTTTATGTGACATTTGATGCTAATACATATGTCTTCAAGGTACGCTTATTCCCTCCTGGCTCATGAAACATCAAAAAATAAATCCA